TAGTAGAGACAGGGTTTCACCATGTTGACCAGGATGGTCTCGATCTCTTGACCTCGTGATCCACCCGCCTCGGCCTCCCAAAGTGCTGGGATTACAGGCGTGAGCCACCGCGCCTGGCACCATCTTGATTTTTTAAACACTGGCTAAATGAATGATATAGTCAGCTATAAACAGATACCAGTAAATAAGTCCATGATCAATACAGACAAATAGAAACACATAACGAGCACAGAAACAAACACAGAGAAACACACGTCTTGAAGATGTGTGAATGACAAGAAAGTTGATGAAGGCAACATACACTTATTGGCCCAAGTACATGATAGGTGGGTCCAGGCAGGTGGAGTTCTGACAGCTCCCAGGTGATTTAATGTAAGAGCCATTGACTTGTTGGTCCAGAACCAGGGTTGGGAGAGGGACCAGGTCTGGATTTTGAACAAGACCCCAGGTGACTTGAGGCTCACCCTGCAAAGCCAGGCTGGGATAGGAGATAGAAACTGGGGTAAGAGGCTGGGTGTGGTGACTCATGTCTGTAATCCCAGCACTTTGGGAGGCAAAGAAGGGCGGATCACGAGGTCAAGAGATCGTCACCATCCTGGCCAACATGATGAAACCCTGTCTGTACTAAAAATACAAAAGTTAGCTAGGCACGTTGGTGTGTGCCTGTAATCCCAGCTACTCAGGAGCTGAGGCAGGAGAATTGCTTGAACTCGGGAGGCAGAGGTTGCAGTGAGCCAAGATCACGCCATTGCACTCCAGCCTGGTGACAGAGCGAGACTCCATCTAAAAAAAAAAAAAAGAAAAAAAAGAAAAGAAACTAGGGTAAGTATAGAAAGATGAACAAAGCCAGGGAGAAGAAGGTACGGCTCAGGAACAGAGCTCTCCACTGGGTTCAGAGATGAAGCTGAGGCCGGGCACAGTGGCTTATGCCTGTAATCCCAGCACTTTGGGAGGCCGAGGCGGGCAGATCACTTGAGGTCAGGAGTTTGAGACCAGCCTTGCCAACATGGCAAAACCCCATCTCTACTAAAAATACAAAAATTCGCCAGGCATGGTGGCGCACACCTGTAATCCCAGTTACTCTGGAGGCTGAGGCAGAAGAATCACTTAGAATTTGGGAGGCAGAAGTTGCAGATGGTGCCACTGCACTCCAGCCTTGGTGAAAGAGTAAAACTACATCTCAAAAAAAAAAAAAGATGAAACCTAGAGGTCACAGCAGGGAGAGGTGAAGACCAGGACAAAGCTTCCTCTCAAGCCCTGGAGAAGGTATTTGCAGGCAGGAGCACGTGCAGTTCATCTCCTTGCGTGGGGCTGTCATCACCTTGCTTGGGGCTGGGTTCAAGATTATCACAGGTCTGTGCCTTCAGGGCAGTTCATTCTCTCCCCCTGACAATGACCCAATCTTTGACCTCCTCCTCTCACCACACAGGGGGCTCCAGGCCCCAGCCCCAGGACCCCCTCCCTTTCTGTCACCACCCCTACAACCCTCCTCCAATTTGGGGGAGCCGCAAGGCCTCCCAGGCTGACAAACAGCTATTCCAGCAGTGGAGGGCAAGTCCCAAGCCTGTCTCTGGCTCAGTCACCAAGGTCAGGGCAGAAGAGAGGAGGAGAGGTCAGAGGGGAGGAGCAACAGTAGGAAACCCAAGGGAAACGGAGTGAAAGAAGTAGGAATGGGAAGGAGGGGGTGCAAATAAAGAGAGCGGAGAGGAAGAGGCACAAATAGGGGAGAGACAGCAGGCATGGGTGGCGGGAGGAGACAGCAAGAGAGGCCCATTTTAGAGATCTATTGCACAGATTTGTGACTTTGTCTATCTATTGCATACTTAGTGACTTTGGGAGGCTGCGGTAGGCAGATTGCCTGAGATCAGGAGTTCAACACCACCCTGGTAACATGGCGAAACCTTGTCACTACTAAAGTACAAAAAATTAGTCGGGCATGGTGGGGGACACCTGTAGCCCCAGCCACTCAGGAGGCTGAGACAGGAGAATCCCTTGAGTCCAGGAGGCGGAGGTTGCAATGAGCAGAGATGGCGCCACTGCACTCCAGCCTGGGCGACATAGCAAGAGTCTGTCTCCAAAAAAAAAAAAGCATTGCATATTTCAAAATTGCTAAAATAGTACATTTGAAATGTTCTCACCACAAAAAAAGTAGGTAAGGTGATGGACATATCAAGTAACTTGATTTCATCATTCCACAATTTCATCATCTTGTAGGCCGTAAATACTTATTTATCAATTAAAAATTTTTAAAAGCATTCGTAAGATGGCAAATAATATGTAATTATGGTGTGCACCTGCAATCATTTAAGAGCACATGTGTTCCAATTTTAGTAATAATTGTAGTAAAAGGAAAAAAGAGGCCGGCCCAAGCTGCCGTGGCAGGCGCAGGGGGGCAGCAGCGAGCAACTGCACGGCTGCCCCGCGGGACCCCCGCCCCGCCCCGCTCCGGCCTGGCCCCTGCTCCGCGCCATTAGCTCCGCCCCAGTGACGTCTCTCCCCGCCCCTGTCCCTCCAGCCCCGCCCCCGCCAGCTCCGCCCGGCTTCCGGGATCCCCATCCCCGCCCCTTTAGCTCCGCCCCACTGCAGTCCCGCCCTGCCCCGGCGCCGCCAGCTCCGCCCCGAGGCCTCGGCGCCCCGCCCCCCTCGCCCCGCGGCCTCCGCGCCCCGCCCTGCGCGCTTGGGCTGGCTCTGAGGCTGCTGCGGGCGGGCGGGCGGGTGCGCGGAGGGCCGGTACCCCGCAGCAGGTGGGCGGGGTGCGGGCGGCGGCGGCGGCTGGGCCGGGGGCTGCCGGCTGCCCTCTGGCGGTGCGCGGCGGCCGTGCGGACGCGCCATGGACTTCAACATGAAGAAGCTGGCGTCGGACGCGGGCATCTTTTTCACCCGGGCGGTGCAGGTGAGGCCTGGCTCCGCGCCGTACACACGGGGCCCGGATGTGGGGCGGGCGGGGAGCACACTGCGGCTGACGCCTGGGGGCGCGGGGAAGCCCTCCCGGGCTGCTGCTCCGGTCCCCGCCGCGGGCGCACCTCTGCCCGCTTGAGTCCTTGCTGGCCAGAAGAGGGAAAGAGCCCGGGCGGCCTGAGCCGGGCCTTGGCCCTGCTGCCTGGGGCGAGGCACCGGTGCCCACCCTTGGTGCCGGTTGAGTTATCCTGTTCCCCTGGCGCCTGCCCTGCCGAGGAGGGGAGGAGGCACCGGCTGGGTCCTACCTCTCTGCCCTTTTCCAGCAGTGACTGGCGCCTGGCGGGGCATTTAGCGGCCTAGGTGTCAGGCCCAGGGACTCATAGTCCGCCACAACCCCTTCTCCAAGCCTCAGTCTCCGCACCTGTGCAATGGGCGGGTGGTGCCATGAGTCCCTCAGGGCCATTTCACACATTTGGATAGTCAGGCCGGAAGCCAGCAGCTGTTTCCTTTCTGCTCCACGGGAGGTCTGTTTCCTTAGTCCCTAGGCCTGGGGGATGGGGAGAGGGCTGGGGTCTGGCTGGGAAGCTGTCCAAGCCCATGATGCTGAAATTGGAGCAGGTCCTATTTGTTTAGGGGCAGAGAGAGAAACAGGCAACTCAACAACATGGAAAGACCTAGGATCAGGTGTGGGTGGGAATATGCCCTCCTGTGACCTTGGGGGAGGGGCCTTCACCTCACTGGGCCTCAGTTTCTCAATCTGAAAAATGGGATCAGTATTCCTGCCTCCCAGGACAGATGCGAGGATTCTGTGGGACTGTACGTATGTGTGCTCGCCAAAGGCAAGCTCATGATTGGTGTTAGCGTGGTTAGTATTGCACCTGTGCAGCATGTGACCTTGAGCAAATCACTTCTCTCCGAGCCCCGCCCTCCCCTTCTGTAAATCAGGTGTAACACCATGGTTATGGGATTCAGTGGGATTCTGCAGGCCTGGGGCTGGCCCCTCCCAGGTTCTGGGAGCCGGTCCTGTAGTGTCCTCCTTGTCGTTGTCACCGTTGTTGTTTCTGTTGAGTACAGTTCTCCCCCAACTCTCACCCCCGAACTCCCCTTCCCAGGAGTCCAGACCCAGCCGCGTAGCCATGTTTACTAGAAAGTGCTGTGTCCCGTTGAGGATTAGCATCCCAGCGAGAATTCACTCCTTAGTGTGTTTCAAGTCTGGTGGACAGCCCCAGCCCTTGTGGAGATGCCAGGATCCCAGAGCCCCTCGGATTGGATGGCCCCAGTCCATCTGGGAGGGGGGAAACCCACTCTGTTGTTGGTATGGCAACCACACTATCTCCCACATCTGTGAAGAACCTGATCTGCCAGTTTCCTGCTAGGGCTGGGGCCGTGCTGCCTGACCTGGCCAGGGCTCTCTGGGCCCAGGCAGAGCAGGGCCTAGGTGTGGCTCTGCTTGGTGGGGGCTGGCCCACAGGGTCACTGATACTGGAGTGGGAGCCAGCAGCCAGGCCCCAGCCTCGGGGTGGGAGGCAGGGAGCTGGGAGCTTTATAAATAGAGGCTTTCTGTGCTCTGCACGCCCACCCCCTGCTGCTGCCATCTTCCTGGGAGCAGCCTCGGACGCCAGCACCAAACCCCTTCCCCTTGGCAGGATTGGAGCGGAGTGGCTGGCCAGGGGACAGAGGGACCTGAAATGTGACCTGGCAGGAGAGGCCACAGAGAGGTTCTGCCTGAGACCAAGCTGGCCTGCACGGGAGTCAGCCAGGAGGATGGGAGAGGGGTTCTTTATGATCAGTACTTGTGCTGGGCTGGGGAACCTCCCAGCCCCTGCAGGTACGAGAAACAACTTGAAGAGCATTCCCGATCAGCAGGGAACAAGGCCCGGGCCCAGAGATGAGGCTCCAGAGGGCGGGATCCCTTTTGCAGGGGTCTGGGATGGCCTCCTGCAAGGTGGGCCCCTAAACTATGCACAGAAAGTAGGGAGGGGCTTGTGACATTGGTCCTAGTGGCAGGAGCACCTCGGACAAGGGCACCGAGGCAAGAAAACCTAAGGCATATTTGGACAAGGTGGCAGCGGGGGTGGGAGAGGGCAGCAGGAGTGATAGGAGTAACACTATAAGGAGTAATTGCAGTAACAGTAATAGAGGTAGAAGTATTATCATCAAAGTCAGAGAGGTGGCGGCACTGTCATCGTCAATCCAGGCAGGCTGCAGTGGACATTGGATGGATGCTCTCTAGTTCGGGAAAGCCTGGTAGAACTTTTTACCTGGGTGGCTGGGGCGGTGGCTAATCCCAGCACTTTGGGACGCCGAGGCAGGAGGATCACCTGAGCCCAGGAGTCCAAGACCAGCCCAACCAACTTGGAGAAACCCCATTTCCACTAAAAATACAGAATTAGCCAGACGTGGTGGCACATGCCTGTAATCCTAGCTACTCGGGAGGCTGAGGCAGGGGAGCTGCTTGAGCAATTTCTTTTCTTTTTTTTCTTTTTTTTTTGCGATGGAGTCTTGCTGGAGTGCAATGGTGCAATCTTGGCTCACTGCAGCCTCCGCCTCCCGTGTTCAAATGATTATCCTGCCTCAGCCTCCTGAGTAGCTAAGACTACAAGTGCATGCCACCATGCCTGGGCAGTTTTTTTTTGTTGTTGTTGTTGTTTAATTTTTGGTAGAGACTGGGTTTCACTGTGTAGCCAGGATGGACTCCTGACCTTGTGATCCGTCTGCCTCAGCCTCCCAATGTGCTGCTGGGATTACAGGCGTGAGCCGCCACACCCGACCTGTTTTTTGTTTTTTTATGAGATGGAATCTTGCTCTGTCACCCAGGCTGGAGTGCAGTGGCGAGATCTCGGCTCACTGGAACCTCCACCTCCCGAGTTCAAGCAGTTCTCCTGCCTCAGCCTCCCAAGTAGCTGAGATTACAGGTGCCGGCCACCACACCCAGCTAATTTTTGTATTTTTAGTAGAGATGGGCTTTCACTATATTGGCCAGGCTGGTCTAGAACTCCTGACCTTGTGATCTGCCTGCCTCGGCTTCCTAAAGGCCCAGCCAAGGCTTTTCGTTAATAATGGTGATAAGGCCTGACATAGTGACTCACGTCTGTAATCCCAGCACTTAGGGAGGCCGAAGCAGGTGGATTGCCTGAGGTCAGAAGTTTGAGACCAACCTGGCCAACATGGTGAAACCCCATCTCTATTAAAAACAAAAATTAGCTGGGCGTGGTGGCGGGCACCTGTAATCCCAGCTACCCGGGAGGCTGAGGCAGAGGAATTGCCTGAGCCCGGGAGATGGAGGTTGCAGTGAGCCAAAATCGTGCACTCCAGCCTGGCTAACAGAGTGAGACTTTGTCTCAAAAAAAAAAAAAAAAAAAAAAAAAAGATGGTGGTGATAATACTAGCTAACATGTATCGGCCCCATACTCTGTGCCGGCCCAGTGGCCTGTGATTTAGATCCTGTGATCTGCGTTCTCCAGTCAGAGGATCTCAGGCCCAGAAGGCAGACTTTGCCTCTCCAAGCCTGGGTTTCTTCATTTGGAAAATGGGGTGAACACCACTCTCCTCAAAGGACTGGGTGGGCACGGTGCAGGGGGAGGGGCAAGGCCGAGCCCCTACTCCGGAAGGTCTCAGTTTTCGGAGTGTGAGCAGGAAGAGGTGGTAGAGTCTGCCAGGGTGAGGGAAGGAGGAGGAGGCCGGGAGCAGCTGGCCCCAGGCAGGAGCTGAGGCCATACCCCTGGCAGCTGGGCCCTTCCAGCCCTACAGGGAGAAACCCAAGCTCTGCTACATAATTGATGGCTGCTGAGCTCCTGGTGGCCGCCCAGCCCCCCGCCGCTGACGCCGACTGCAGCCATGGATGATTCACAGCTGACCCGAGTCCGGCGTAGTCCAGGGCCTTGCTCAGCCTCAGTGGTAGCGTCTGTGAAATGGGAACCAGCCCTCCGTGCATTAGAGGTTGATGAGGTCAAGAGCGGAAACCCTCAGGGCAGGGCTGGCCAGCAGTGTTTGTTGCTCCTTATCTTACTCCTGCAGGTCTTCACTCTGGCCACCACCTTGGGCAAGCCCTTTCCCTTAACTGGAGAAGGCCTTGGTGTCCCTGTCAGGAAAGCAGAGGGAGACGTGTTTCCGGTTGTTCCTAGGTAGCCCCTGTGGCTTCTGCCAGCTTTGATGAGGACCCATAGGGCATCCCGGGCCCTGGGTGTGCCCAGCTGCTGGTTCTGATGGGCTGTCGGTGTGTCTGCCTACCCTCCCAGGTGGCCAAAGCCAACCGTTTGGCCATCCCGCAGTCCCCTTCCTTCCCAGACGTCTCTGTGCCCATCAGCTCTGGGCACCAGTGCCTTCCATGGGGAAGTCAGGCTGTACCAGACCCAGCCTTTATGTCCACCCACGTCTTTTTTCTTCATCCTCATAACCTATGAGAGAGGTGTTGTTATGCCTTTCTTCAGCTCAGGAAACCAGTGCTCAGAGAGGCAGAGCCCCTTGCCCAAGGTCACACAGCTGGATAGTGGCAGAACTAAGAATCGAATCAGGTTTTCCGGACCTTGGGTTTTTCCCCTCCCTCCCCGGCACCCTCTCCCTAGCAGCTCCCAGATGCCTGTGGAGCTCCCTGGTAGCCCCAGACCTTGCTCCATGCCCCGTTTGTCCCAAGCCCTTTCTACCAAGTCTGCTCCTTCAGAGTCAGGCTCCAAGGACCCTAGGGCAACCCTCCCCAGGGTTCCTGACCCCACTAAGTTGTGTGCCAGGTTGTGTATGAATGTGCATTTTTGTGGGGAGACAGTCTCTAGCTTTCACTGGATTTCCAGAAGAAGCTGTTATCCGCACACTCTGGTCCAGCCACCTCATTTCACCAAGGGGCAAACAGGGAGGCCCTGCCAGGAAGCCTCAGGCCGGTTCCTTGACCCTGGGGCCTGCCTGGCTTCCTGCTGGTGGGAGGGGCAGTCCTCCCTTTACCCTCCACTCCCCCACCTCCTCCTGAGCCCTCCCTACCCCTTGGCCTTCGCACTGTAGTTCACGGAGGAGAAGTTTGGCCAGGCTGAGAAGACCGAGCTTGATGCCCACTTTGAAAACCTTCTGGCCCGGGCAGACAGCACCAAGAACTGGACAGAGAAGATCCTGAGGCAGACAGAAGTGCTGCTGCAGCCCAACCCTAGTGAGTGTGTGCCAGGGCCTGGGAGGGGTGCATCCCGGGGATGCCTGGCCTACTGTGGCACGGGTAGTGAGTGTGCGCCGGGGCCTGGGAAGGGTACATCCTGGGGATGCCTGGGCCTACTGTGGCATGGGTACAGCAGGGCTGCAGGCGGGGTTTCAGCTAGACTCTTGGGCTAAAGGCCAGTTAGGAGTGGCAGTTCAAAGAAAATGGAAAAAA